ATGCCCCCTCCAAAAATTACACCCCCACCCCAAAAATCTTGGTCAAATAGTTAAAAATCACCTAAAATCACCTTATTTTGCAAATTAGCACACCCCCACCCCTTCAACTGATTGTCGATCCACCACTTTACCCTCGCGCACCCCCTCCCCTATCAGCACCCCCATTTCAACCCATTTCAATACTCCTAGATATGCCACTGGGAATATACATAAACAATATAATGATTTATGAAATAGATACAAATAGAAAAAAATCTTAAAGATACAAACCCCCAGGCTTTCTGAGCACCAGCTAAGTCATGCAGTCTTCCTCTCACTAAGAAAAGAAAATAATTAAAATAGCAATTATCTATAACAATTTTTTTTTAAATTTTAATATCTTGGCATAATTTATAGACATTTATTTCATTATTATACTGTACAAGTTTATGTTATGTTATCTAAACAAAGATATTAATACTTACATTCTTTAATACTAGTAAGGTTTTGTAATGTTGAGCAGCATCTCACATTCTTTCTGAACTGACAGAAGGCAGACCGATATCTTGCAAGCATCAAAAAACTAAAATAAAATTTTCAGTATAAACTATAATTAATAAAATATTTATTAATCTCTGTGCGCAAAAAAAAAAAAAAAAAAAAAATTCCCACAATGCTAGCTCATGGTTATGATTATATATTCTCTGATTGGCCAGCCTGCAGAATGACTACACCAAAGTTAAAATCCCATTAAAACAATACGATGCTGAGCCATTATATCATTATATTGGATTTATTATAATATATAGATTTATTTTACATTCAAACCAAATGCCACATACTGAGTATAGTGTACCTGATTGGACGTTCGGAGGAGGCAGTAATTAATTATTCAATTCCAAGTATACTTGGATGGGATAGGTCTAGCTTCCTATGCCTACTTAACCGCCTACTACTAGGCCTATTTAAACACCCTAGCTCTACTACTACTATGCTACGGAAATACTGTAGTATAGTAGGCCAACAAGCCAGAGGCTGCCTGTGTAGGTAGGTCTAGCTAGGCCCAGGCTAGGCTAGGCTAAACCCTAGCGCCGAACCTACTCGACTGAATTAAGTAATTAACTATTAATAATAAGCACGGAGGTGTAATAAATTTAAAAAACACTTAATTAATAAAACCAAAACAAACGGACCTCTTTATAGGAGACATCATCGTATCATCGCTAGCCAAGTTTATTACCTAACCTTAGCTGACCTCATGTAAACAAAACAAACCCTGGGAAACTGTCAACGAACAGATGCCGCGTCAACATTTCCAGAGTGCGTCATCATTAAGAAAAAAAGGTGCGTCTGCAATTAGCCTATTTCATATTTCTTCTCAATGAAAATCGTAAAATTTAAGTTTGTTAAGTTTCGTTTGTGAATGAAGAATTTAGTTACTTAATAGGAGTATGCGATAAAATATCTTCTTTTTTCATTTTCTAAATTAATATTTTAACATCATCAGTGTCAACATCATCATCATCTTCACTATCGTTAGCATCACCGGCCCACTCTTCTCCCCAAAAAAGATAAAAGAAAAAAAAGATACCATGTATATAATATAGGGGAGTACAGGCTCAAAGCAACTTAGCTAATTTTCGATTTAAATTCATGGTACCAGATGTATGGTTAAGCATTTTTTTTTAAATCTCAGACACCCAACCCCCTCCCGATCAGTGTTTTGCATTTCGCATGCCCCTACCCAGATTTTTCTCTGGATTTGGCCCGTCTTTTTCGTCGATCATCATCATCATCACTATCATCATCATCGATATCATCAGTTACTCACAAGTAGCGGGTCACATTGTGTTTAGGCGTTCTTCTGTGTAATAGGCCTATGGCCAATCTTATCAGTGATGTTTATTAGATGATGATACTTTTTAACAATTATACGATCATGAATTGCACTATTAATACCATGGCTTATTCAGCTTATTATTATTATTATTATTATTATTATTATTATTATTATTATTATTATTATTATTATTATTATTATTATTTTAACTTTATTGTATGTTTCGCTTCAGATAATTGTTTGTTCCGAATTCCATAGTGATAACCATGTCTCAGAAAGTTTCCAAACTAATACAGTTCATAAAATAAGGACAATAAACATTAAGCTTTTCGGTGCGTCATAATTTATTCGTCATTTTACATATTGGCATGGTTTATTATTTCCATTTTGGGCTTATTCTTGGGGAAATATCTTTTGCAAAAAACCCCAAAAAGCTGAAATGTGGAAATGAACCTTGGGAAATTGAAAACTGTAAACGAAGAAATATCGTAACGTAACGAGTCAACAATTTCTCACAGTGTGTCAGCCACGAAATCATTGATGTAGCGAATATTATTAACGCTGCAAAGACAATTTTGGTCAGATTGATAAATAAGTACTGTGTTTAGCCAGAATGTAGAACTGCACATGAATTTGGTAACGCAAGTTGAGAAAAGTGCAGTGAACTTTATACACTACTTTTAGATATCATGACACATCTAGTCATTGTAAACAATATATTTCGACAACTTATTCTTACATCGATTTCTAGCCAATCACAATAATTATCACACATAATCATGATTTCTAAAATTTTCAATAATTGAATCAAAGGTTTCTCTTTTTTGAACCAATTTAGCGTTTCAATAACGTTATATTAGCGTTATTATTACGTTATAGTAACGTTATATTAACGTTACAGTTTAAGCTCAAAACGTTTTTGTGTAGAAGTATAAATAGAAGTTTATGACGTGATCTACTACTAAATAACATTGTTAACGTTGTTAAAATGTTGTATTGACGTTAACCTAAGCACAGTGTTCACTAACGTTATAATAACGATTTGTGTTCGCTGCATTTATTATTTCCTTTCTCGAAAAATAAAATTATGCTGAAATAGGCTATATATAGACTTTGAAGTCATTGATGATAAAAAAAATGTTTTGTTCATACTATAGTATTAGTCTATTTTAGAAAGCTTATTAAAACAGTGGCCGAGCAATACTTATAGGTACTCGTATGTATCATGTCAAAATAAAATAATTTTATAGGTGCGATTATCAAATAAGTTGGCATGCGATTGTCGAAACATGCATCCCGCTTTATGAAATAGTAATTGGTTATTAGACTCGATGACCAAGATACTCGGTAGGAATTTCTAAACAAAATGCCTATATAAATCACTTTTTCGTTTTATGTTCTTATTTACAAAATGTGCATAGGGTATTTAAAATGATGCTGATTTCACCAATCCTTGTATCTAAATCACTAGGTGTACAAAATATAGCATTAATTGTGTGTATGAAATTTAATGAAGCGTTACAAATAGGCCTAATTATAGATTAGATTGATTAAAGAATGTGGAACAAAATAAATATATCTCTATACTGCCACAAGAATCATATAGAATTTTAAAATTGTTGTTTTAAGAAATATACATGCTTACTAAAAATATAGATTGCACGATGAGTAAAGGTAAATTAAAGTATTTATTTCTATATTCAAATAACGTTTGTGTTTTCTAAACACTCACACACAAAAATGGCACACATAGATCACTATAGACGGATATGTTTCTGACAAATTCCAGAAAACATAGGCACCGGTAAACACAAAGAGATAGAAACCATTACAGCCCCAAAACCCCCGTGCCCCGTACACTTCCACCTCAGCATAGTTCGACACACAAACCAGACAAACCTCACGGGCGCCGGGGATGCCACCTCCTCCTTTTGGAAATTAAAAAAAAAAAAGAAAGAAAACCAAAATGAAATCATTGATCGCCCAAAACGCCTCAGAGGTTATTTTCGGGCGTCTAGAAAAAAAAATGCGGGGACATGCCCCCGAACACCCTATGGTAATATTGTCTAGATCAGCCCCACTTTTGGGCCCCTTTCGCCCCCTCCCCCTCCCTTCGGACATCCCTGGATCCGCCCCTGGGCATGGTGTGTGCAACCCTAAAGGGTAGTGCTGGTCGTGTTAGGCAGTAATGAACACATTGTTCGAGTTCAAAACGTCTAGTTCAGAATTACTTTCTCCAGGTTCTCTTTCTGAATGTTTCTTACTGATGATGTCTTCATGATTGTCAATAGGTATACCACTACTTGGTCGTGCTTGGTTCGAGTCATGGCAGAAACTACCATCAGGAATCTCACAACCTTGCGGTTCTGGCCTCTCGCCTTCGAGAACAATGTTCAAATCACGATTTATCCTGGACCTACGGTATGATCCGGGTCGCGCACTTGCAGGTCTTTGGATTGAATTATCATTTATTTCATTTCTTTTGAAGTCTGTCGCGGATCTAGGTCTGTGTGGCGCTACTTTGTGTGTGTTTAAGGTTTCCGGGTATTTTCTATAAGGAGGCCGAGACGCAGTAGGAGGAGATGGAGTGTTTAGAGGTCCCGTGTCCGTAAATTTCTTCGATTCCGTTGCCCTTCGAATACGCTCCTTTGCAAGAGTTGGAAGGAGTCTTTCCAAGTCTGGGTCTACATTCTGTTTTGATTTCTCTTCGTGTTTCTTGTTATTATCTCCATCTCGTTTGATTTTTATCCATGCATTGTACGTCATTCTCTTTGTTTTTCGAACTTCGTCGATAGAATCGATATTTTTAGGCACTTGTTGACTAATTACTGACCTTTGACCTGAACATTTATCATCTTTCTTCCGTTCAGTTATCTTCTCTGATTTATTTCTAAGATTTCGGCTTCCATTTGGTGTTTTGGCTTTAGAACTTTTCAAATCCTCTGCATCTATGCTAAGCGTTTTGTCATCGGCTTTTAGTTCTTTTGCTGCCTTATTTAACGTTCCTCTTACAGAAACACCAAGTTTCTTTTTAGCAGCCTTTGCTTGAAGTTTCTCATCATCAATTAGTCTCGCGGCTGCAGGTTCAAGCAGAAATGGTTTTCCATTGTTATCCTTTTCCTTTGAGACGGCGTTTTCGTCTTCCCCCTTTTTGCGTTTTCCGATCCGACGTTGGCGTCGTTTGATTGTTGCTCTCCGTATTTCAAATTGTTCTTTGGTTTGATTCATACGTCGGTCTGAAGTTTCTCTACTGTTGTTTTCTAACACAGCGTTTCTCTTGTGAATCTCATCTACGCGTTGCCGGAGTTTCCTATGCTGCAAAGTCTCTTTTTTCTTGTCATGGAGCCACTTTTCAAATTTGTCTCCGGATTCGAGTAGTCTAGCGGTTTTTGCGTTCAACATTTCCTGCTCTTTCTGCATTTCTTCGCGCTCTTTTCTCCGTTCCTCTTTCAATTTCTTACGAGCTATTTTATTCTTTTCTTGAATCCACCTTCGGACATCTATATTGGACGATGAGTTAAGACTGTTATCCAAAACACATTTTGTTTTTTGCCTCGGAGACCTTTCTGATGGTTTTGAGTCTTTCTTGGTGGGTTTCTTTTTACGCGAAGTCCTTTTCCTAGATATGTACCTGTGCTGACTGTTTCCTGATGTTGTCTTGGACTGGGACGAAGCTCCTAAAGTTGTGTATTTTGGCGTTTTTCTGTGATTGCGTAAAATGTCTTTCAAAATCAGGGCTTCCAGTGAGTTAAGTTCAAAACGTGGTATGGGGTCACCCTTAGGTTCCTCTGCAAAAGAAACGTGTTTTGTTTTTGAAGATGTGCTAGCTTTTTCACTTTCTGATTCGATTTCTTCTCCATCAGTGTCCACTTCACGAATTGTTACTGTGGAATTACACGTTTGTTCGCTTGCGTCATCATTATATTCTTCACCCTCAGTTTCTATATTATCGTCATCCGACCTGTCCCCGACTTCCTTTTCGGATTCGGAATCGCTCGGCATTTCCCATATTTTCAAACGAACTCCTCTGCCTTGATCAATTATTTCCGTTACTCGTTTTGCAGAAGCTTTCAATTTTCGACTTTCTTTATCAATCCTTTTCGCTTTGTTATTTTCAGAGCTGACTTTCTTAAAATCCAAATCATATGAAGAATAAAGATGTCCGATTGTTCTCCTCTGGGCGATATGAGAGAGCATAAGATTGTTAAGTTCGTCATACTTCTCTCGAAGGCGTTCGTCAGAGCGTGATAGATCTGTTGAGCGTGGTGAAGTTCGCGGGCTTATTGGTGTACCGTCTGCTAGATAACGCAGCATTTGCTTAACATCATACTTAGCTCTATAATTATCCGTCATCTTGGATAATGAGGTCTGAAAGTAGAAAATATATCACGGTAATACATGATATAACGGTAACGGCAATTACATTTTAGCTTCTTAATTTCGTACATCAACCGCATTTATTCACGATTGCAGTTCTACAAATTTTTAGTATTTTATGTGATAAAACAATTTAATTCACCAAAACTTCGTGTACAAAAGATAGGCATGTATATATTCACGATACACGACTAGTGTTGATGGAAAATGCATTATTATGTTTAAAATGAACGATTCCATAGCAGTGATTTGATGACGTAGGCTACGGCAATGTGGCATCAGCCTAGTGGAGCCGTTCTCATTATAATAATAATGTAAATTTGTTGTCATTATATATGATGTATTCTACCACTGGTTGGTCTTCGCCTATGTCTTGACACCAGTCTCTTATAAGTTTGTATATTTATATTAATATTATCATGTTTATCGAATAGGTTATATATATATATATAT